CCTACGGGGATCACCAGGGAGGGGCAAAGAGTGTGAGCCAGGTTGCTGGTGTCCCAGATGTGCATCCTATTGCCAGCCTCATGGGGGAAGGCCTCACCAAAGGAACGGTGACCTCTGCCAGCACGTCTTTCCAGAAGAAAGCTGCCTCTCTAGCCCTTGCCCTGAAATCAAACAACTCAATTCTTCTTTGTATGTTTCTGGTGCCTTTCGAGCTGCCTCCCCCAAGCTGGAGCTCAGAGGGAACAATTCTGGTAAGTCCTTATTCAGGCCCTTTCACAGGAGCTGCCTGGGGCTCCAGCCGCATTATCCTCCCTCAGCCTCAGTTCCTGCTGGTTTTTGCAGCCAGAAGTTATGGGGATTGCTCTTCCTGACACTGGAAACCTGAGCTAGCATCCCGGTGGGGCACAGGAACCACTTACTGATCTGGGAGGACCTTCCCAGCCAAGGTGTCTCTCCTGATTTTTATCTGCCCCACCTGTGTGTGGGACCAGCCTGTCCACCTCTGCCCCTCCTATTAGATGTGGCTTCTTCTTCAATTTCGTACTTGTAGTACTTCTATTCAGCTTGATTTCAGGCGGTTTTGATTATTCTGTAGTTTAGTTGTAAGTTTGATGTCCCATCCATCCCTCTTTATGTCAGAATAAAGGAGAGGATATTGCAGGGAAAGCATTTGTTGGGGTCTTGAGTGCCGAAGCTTTTGTCTGGAATGGAAATACCAGCTTTAGGAGAGTTAGGTCATCTGCAAAATGTAGAAGGGCAACCTTTTTTTTCTTTTAATCTTCACCTGAGGACATTTTTGGATTTATCTTCAGATAGGGAGGGAAGAAGAGAGAGAAAAACATCGATGTGAGAGAGACACATCGACTGGTTGACACCCTCACGACCCACAGTGGACCAGGGACAAACTTTAAGTGAGGTTCCTGCCATTTGCAGGAACCGAACCCAGGGCTCTCCGGTCCACCAGGTGATGCTCTAACTGCTGAGCCAAAACAACCAGGCTAGAATGGCAACTTTTTGAAACATGATAACCCTCAGTAGTCTGTGATCTTTATCTGGAAATCAGATGGTGAGGATCCACATCCTTGCTAACCATGTGTTTCTTCTGTACACCTGGGTCTGCAGGTGTGCACCTCATCACAGTATTGCATGTTTGCATCTCTTTGGTGGCCTTACTGAATTTCAGAACTTGACATGTTCTTTACGGTTTATTCTATATGTTTCACAACACAGTCTCAGTTACTACCTTTTCTTGGAAGAATTTCTCTGTATTAATGAGATACATGTTAGTGTTTTCAGTTAAGACTTTGTTTTGTTGTTAATCCTCATGCAGGGATATTTTTCCATTGGTATTTAGATATGGAAAGAGCATGGCCTCAGTAGCTAAATGGTTGGGCTTTGACACATACACTAAGAGGTCACTGTTTTGATTTCTGGGCACATGCCCAGGTTGTGGGTCAAATCCCCAGTGGGTGCCATGCAGGAGTTGGCCAGTTGATGTTCTCTCTCAGTGATGTTTCTACCTATCTCTCTGTTTCTCTCCCTTCCTCTTTCTAAAATTCAATAAAGAAAAAAAAGCTGTAGATACAATTAGAGTGGAAGGCAGGTGGAGAGAGACAGAGACACCTGAATGTGAGAGATACACAGGGGTTATCTCCATCCCGCATGACCGAGAGTGACCTGAACAGAGGATCAAACCTGCAAACCAAGTACATACCTTTAACCAAGAATAGATTCCCTGGCTGGTATGGCTCAGTGGTTGGAGTGTCGGCCTGCGGACCAGAGAGTCCCGGGTTCGGTTTCCACTAGGGGCACTTAAAAAAAAAAGAAGAATAGAATCCATGATCCTTTGTTACACAGGATGATGCTCTAACCATTTAAAAAATAGGTCAGGGCTGACAAAAGACATTTTTTAGATTTATACATTCAGCCCGTGTCTTCATATTTGTACCTGGATATTTAATAATCATATTAAACTTTGTTTCACCATGCACTCTAAATTTTGCCCTCGTTCTATACTGCAACAATACTGGATTGCTTTTTTTTTTTTTAATCCTCACCTGAGGACATTTTTCCACTTTTTGTTCAGGTAGAGGAACAGAGAGAGAGAGAGAAACATCGATGTGAAAGGATCACATCGAGTGGCTGCCACCCACACGACCGACCAGGGCCGCGGACAAACTGCAACCGAGGTACGTGCCCTTAGTGGGAACCGAACCCTGGTCTCTTTGGACCGCAGGCTGTCGCTCAAACCGCTGAGTCGAACCGGCCAGAGCAATACTGGATTTCTTTTTTTTTTTTAATCCTCACCCGAGGACATTTTTCCATCTTTTGTTCAGATAGAGCAGGAGGGAGAGAGAGGAAGAGAGAGAGAGAGAAACATCGATGTGAAGGGACACATCGAGTGGCTGTCACCCGCACAACCAACCAGGGCCGGGGACAAACTGCAACCGAGGTACATGCCCTTAGTGGGAACCGAACCTGGGTCTCTCTGGACCGCAGGCTGTCGCTCAAACCGCTGATTCAAAGCGGCCAGGGCAATACTGGATTTCTTAAGAGCCATTCTTTCTACCTAGTCTTTCAGTTCATATATTTCCTACAATGTTCTTTGATCCCATTAGTGAACCAGTCTTCTCTTTCCATAAAAGTTGTGGCAAAAGTCGATTTACATTGTTGAGAATGCAGAACAGTTTTTTGGTTTTTTTTTATTCTCACCCGAGGATATTTTCCCATTTTTAGTTCAGGTAGAGTGGGAGGGAGAGAGAGGAACAGAGAGAGAGAGAGAGAAACATCGATGTGAAAGGAACACATCGAGTGGCTGCCACCCACATGACCGACCAGGGTCGGGGACAAACTGCAACCGAGGTACGTGCCCTTAGTGGGAACCGAACTCGGGTCTCTCAGGACCTCAGGTCGACACTCTAACCGCTGAGCCAAACCGGCCAGGGCCAGAACAGTTTTTTCTCATAATTTTATTATTATTCCATTATTTTCTGAACACAGCAAACCTACTTTGGCCCAACCCTGTATATCTCATTGCCTCCACCTCTTACATCTGTCTCCTTCCTCCTTGCCCATGTTTCCCAAGCTGCAATTGCCTTTATTACATAGCTCCTGGTGTCTGTACATAGAATGTTAAATCTGGTTGTCCTACAAATTTGACTCAATTCTGGCCTTATCTACCTAGAAATAGTATCAGATGAGAAAACTTCAGGGTTCAACCCCATAGATCAGCCACCATTCAAATGTCAATTACAAGTCCCGATTGCTACTTGTATTTCTGACCCACTGGTTATAATTGGTAGGTTCACATATGCCCCTCCTTGGTTTTAATGAATTTGCCAGAGCAGGCTGGACTGTGTGACCCTGTGGTTGAGCTTCAACTCACGCATCAAGCAGTCCTCAGTTGGTTTCCTGGTCAGGGCACAAGCAGGGGTTGTGGGCCTGGTCCCCAGTGGGAAGTGTGCATGAAGAGGTCAATGTTTTCTCTTATCGATGTTTCTGTCTCTATCTCCTTCACCCTTCTTTGCTTGGTAACACCAATAAAGTGGAAAATTTAAAAAAAAAATTTTTTAACATGCTCACACTACTTGGAGAAATACTTATGTTTACTAGTTGATTATAAAGATGTTGTAAGAAATACAGATGAATAGGTACAGGCCACATTTTAAAAAACCTTGAATACAGGAATTTTTTTTTTTGTATATTTTTTAATCCTCTCTGAGGATATTTTTCTATATATCTTCAGACAGAGTGAGAGCTGGGGACAAAAAGGAAAAGGGAGAGAAACATCAACATGAGAGGAGCACATCAACTGGTTGCATCCTGCACGAACCTGTCTAGGACTGGGGACAAACTGCAACTGAGGCAGGTACCCTTGTCCAGAATCAAACCTACATCTTATTGATCCACAGGTGTATGCTCTGCCGCTGAGCCATACCCACCAGTGTTGAATCCAAGAACTATATAGATATATTTTTTAATTTCTCCCTTTACTGATTTTCTTCTTTTGGTACGTGCCCCTAGTGGGAACCGAACCTGGGACTCTCTGGTATGCAGGCCGACGCTCCAACTGCTGAGCCAAACCGGCCAGGGCTCCCTTTATTGATTTTCAAGAGAGAGAGACAGAAACACTGATGAGTGAGAACATCAACTGGCTACCTCCCAATACCCTCCCGACTGGAAGTTGGGGCCACAACTTGGGCATGTGACCTGACTGAGAAACGATCCGACGACCTCTTGGTGCATGGGTCGATGCTCAACCATTGAGCTACACTGGCCACATTTTTTTTTTTTCCCTAATAGAACGGGAAGGAGAGAGGTAGGAAGAGAGAGAGAAACATCGATGTGAGAGACACACATCACATGGTTGCTACCCACATGACCCTGACGGGCTGGGGACACACTGAAACTGAACTATGTGCCCTTAGCGGGAACTGAACCTGGGACTCTCTGGTCTGCAGACTGATGCTCTAACCACTGAGTTAAACTAGTCAGGGTGAATACAGCAACTTTTGTTCCTATGGAACTGGGATAAACCATCGACTCGGCAAATGTATTTGTTAAAAAAAGACACAGAAGTGTATTAGGTCTTCCTAAGAGTTTTTATAGAGCTTTAATCCCTAGGCCCTTCCTCATTTTCCATGAGTCAGTGTGTTGAGCTAATAGGTGAGCCTTCTAATCAATTAGTGTTTCTGGTAACTAGTTCCATCCTGAGGTTGTATAGAAACTGTGTGCTACCATCAATTAGCATAAACTCACATTAACTAGTAATTTATATATATATGAAACAATAGGTACTCATATCACTTTGGATATTGCAAGATTTTAGCAAGTTCAGTATAAGAACTCTAGACAGAAACCACTTAAGTTTGACTTTTTACAATGTAATGTAGATTGTCACTAAATAGTTACTTCACACGAAGTCATTTTAAAGAACAGTTCTATATCAAACTAGGATTGGAAGAGATTGCAAGGTGAATTACTGTTCTCTTTTTTCCTAGAATGCAGGCAAGATGATGATTTTCTACAGTGTCACCTGCAAATTAGTAAAGTTCAGAAGAGTGTGGAACGATGTGATGAACCTGACACATTTGCAAATATTGTTAATCAGATTGAAGGTCGTTTTCCGCTAAAGCACAATTGTAATCTTGAGAAACATGGAAAACCTTTACAATTAAAATTAAGTTTTAAAAACCAAAACAGAAGCTGTGACTTAACTAACTCTGTCGAGTTGAATGGACATGGGACACCCATTCTGCATGCCAACCAACAGCTGTGTTACCCTGAAATTATATTTCCTTTTGGTACGAAAAACGTCAGTAATAAATCCCAGGTCATTCAGCAACAGAGAACTCACAATGGAGAAAGACCCCAAGTATGTACTGAAAGTGGGAAGGCCTTCATCAGGATGTCTCTTCTGAGTCAGCATGATAGACTTCATAGTGAGGAGAATCCTAATATATGCAGACTGAGCGGGAAAGGCTGTTTTATTAAATACTGGCTCCCTGAACATAATGGAATTCAAGCAGGACTAAAACAGTGTGAGTGCTCCGAATGTGACAAAACCTTCCGTAAGAAATTAGACTTGAATATACATCAGAAAACTCACATGGGAAAGGAACTTAATGTAGGTACTGAATCTGGGGAAATGTTCATCAAAAAGTCTCAGCTCACTTGTCATCACCAAGCTCACACAGGAGAGAAACCTTCTATCTACAGTGAATGTTACAGAAACAATGGCTGTACCACCACCCATCAGCAAAAACATGCAGGACAGAAGCCCTATGTATGTAGTGTATGTGGGAAAGGCTTCACAGTGAAAGCAAACCTGGTTGTACATCAACGGACTCATACAGGAGAGAAACCTTTTATGTGTAGTGAATGCGGAAAAAGTTTCCCCAGGAAGAGCTATCTGATTATACATCAGCGATCTCACACAGGAGAGAAACCCTATGTATGCAGTGAATGTGGAAAAACCTTCACAGTGAAGGGGAACCTGGTTGTACATCAACGTTCTCATACAGGAGAGAAACCTTATATCTGTAATGAATGCGGAAAAGGTTTCCCAAGGAAGAGCGGTCTGATTATACATCAGCGATCTCACACACGAGAGAAACCCTTTGTATGCAGCGAATGTGGAAAAAGCTTCACGGTGAAGGCAAACCTGGTTGTACATCAACGGACTCATACAGGTCAGAAACACTCTTGCAGTGAATGTGGAAAATGCTTCGCTAAGAAGGTCAAACTTGTTTTACATCAATGGACTCATATAGGAGAGAATCCTTATATGTGTACTGAATGCGGGGAAGGTTTCAAAGCCAAGTGTGAACTGACCACACATCAGAGAAAACACGCAGGAGAGAAACCCTTTGTATGCAGTGAATGTGGAACAGGCTTCAAATGGAAGATGGGCCTGATTGTACATCAACAGACTCATACAGGAGAGAAACCTTATAGGTGTAGTGAGTGCGGCAAAGGTTTCCCAAGGAAGGACAGCCTGATTGTACATCAGCGAAAACACACAGGTGAGAAGCCCTATGTCTGTAATGTGTGTGGGAAACCCTTCACCACAAAGAGTGGTCTGATTATACATCAGCGGTCTCACACAGGAGAGAAACCCTATATATGCAGTGAATGTGGAAAATGCTTCACAGTGAAGGCAAACCTTGTAGTACATCAACGGATTCATACTGGAGAGAGACCTTATATCTGTAGTGAATGCAGGAAAGGTTTCACCAGAAGGAGCTGTCTAAATTTACATCAGCGATCTCACACAGGAGAGAAACCCTTTGTATGCAGTGAATGTGGAACAGGCTTCAAAGTGAAGACACAGCTTGATTTACATAAACTAATTCACACAGGAGAGAGACCATATATCTGTAGTCAATGCAGCAAACCTTTTCCTGGAAAGAGTTTTCTGATTGTACATCAGCGATCTCATACAGGAGAGAAACCGTATGTATGTAGTGAATGTGGAAAAAGCTTCAAAGGGAAGATGGGCCTGGTTGTACATCAACGGACTCATACAGGGGAGAAACCTTATCAGTGCAGTGAATGCGGTAAAGGTTTCCCAAGGAAGTACAGTCTGATTGTACATCAGCGAAAACACACAGGTGAGAAGCCCTATGTATGTAGTGTATGTGGTCGAGGCTTCATAATGAAAGGTGATCTTGTTTCACATGAGCAAACTCATTCTTCAGAGAAACAGTATACATGTAGTGAATGTGGGAAGCAATTCAGCAGGAAGAGATCGTTGATTGAACATCAGCGAATTCATACAGGCGAAAAACCTTATATGTGTACTGAATGTGGGAAAGGTTTTATCGTGAAGCGATCTCTGACTATACACCAGCGATCTCACACAGGAGAGAAACCCTTTGTATGCAGTGATTGTGGAAAAGGCTTTCCAGTGAAACTTCAGCTGGTTGAACATCAGTGGTCTCATACAGCAGAGAAACCTTTTGTCTGTGGTGAATGTGGGAAAGGTTTCACCAGGAAGAACCATCTGATTCTGCATCAGCAATCTCACACAGGAGAGAAACCTTATATCTGCAGTGAATGTGGAAAAGGCTTTTCAATGAAGAACAGGCTTGTTTTACATCAACGGACTCATTCAGGAGAGAAACCATATTTCTGTACTGATTGTGGTAAAAGTTTCACCAGGAAGGACAATCTCAATGTACATCTGCGATCCCACACAGAAGAGAAACTGTTAAATGCAGTGAATGTGGAAAAGGCCTCCCAGTAACGGTGCGGTTGGTTGTACATGAATAGACTCACAGGAGAGAAACCCTATGTATGTAGTGAATGTGGAAAAGCCTCAGTGAAGTTGAACCTGGTTGTACATCAACAGACTCATAAAGTAGTCAAACATTTCTGTACTGAATGTGGGAAAAGTTTCTTGAGGAAGGACTCCGTGATCTCACACAAGAGAGAAACCATTTGTATCCAGTGAATGTCGAGAAGGATTTCCCGTGAAGAGCAAGCTGGTTTTACATCAAGGGACTCATACAGGACTAAAACCTTATACATGTAGGAATGTGGGAAAGATTTCAAAGTCAAGTATGACCTGATCACATATGAAGGAAAAAATATAGCTGAGAAGTAGTGTGTGGGAAAGGTGTCACAATGAAACGTGATCTCATTTTACCTCAGCAAACTTCATTCTTTGGACAGATCGTGTATGTGCAATGAATATGGGGAAACATTTATAAGGAAGAGACTGCTGACTGAACATTTGCAAACTCATACAGGAGAGAAATCCTATGCAGTGAATATGGAATAGGCCTCACAGTGAAGGCACCGCTGGTTTCACATCAATGGACTCATGCAAGAGAGAAATCTTGTATCTGTAGTGAATGTGAAAAACACTTCCCAGTGAAAAACAGCTTTGTTTTACATTAATGGACTCATCCAGGAGAGAAACCTTATATCTGTAGTGATCATGGTAAAGGTTTCACCAGGAAGGACTATCTAATTGCATATCAACAGACTCAACCTTTAGGTAGGAGAGAGTTCAAAAAAGTATCAACACATAACAGAAAACCATGTGTGAGAAGTCCTATGTATGTAGTGTATGTGGAAAAGGCTTTACCATGAAGACTGATCTCACTTTACATCAGGCAGTCTGCACTTAGAAGAAACTATATATGTGCATTGAATGTGGGAAAGACCTTACCATGAACTGTCATCTTAGTGTATATATGGTGAACTCACACAGGAAGAAAATTTCTATATGCAAGAAAAGTAGCAGAGGCTTAATTGGGAACAGCATGCTTATTGCACATCTGCGAATTTATATTAAGACCAAACATATATTTGTAATGCATCTGGAAAGGGCTTCACCATGAAGAATAGGTATGCAGCAGTGGACTCATAGTGCAGAAAATTTGAACAAACACTGAATAGGGTAAACGCTTTAAGAACAAAGCATTCCCCCATAACATGAGAGATTTCTCTCAGGAAAGACTTCCTTACATATAATGAATGGAAATTTCTCATTACTCCAAAATGATCTCTATGGAGCAGAGAATGTACAGAGGACAGAAACCCTGTGCATGGGATGAATGTGCGAAAGCCTTCACTACAAAGGCAGGACTCTATCAGAGAAATCCTTTAGAAACAGAGCCTTGTGGGCAAAACAATTGTGGGCAGTCTTTGCACCACTTGGCAGTCTCTCTCTGGAACATGAGAATATTCACAAGTTGTCACTTTGGGGAAGCCCATTGCACATAGTAGACCCTCAAGGTAATAGTGTGGAATGAAGAATAACTTCACACAAAGAATGTAGTACTCAGTTTACTGATCAAAATAATTGTGTTTTATATCAATAAAAACATTTATAGACCAACTCATACAATCCGCCTTGATCAAGATATTTGAGGACACTTTGTCTGAAAATTGTTTTTTGTGGCAACCCTTATTAGTGTGGTAATCTTGGGAACCCTTTAGTGGACGTAGACCCTGTCATATAATCATGATGGAGCAAGAATTTATGATTAGTTCTAATTATAAGAAAGTATCTCCTTGCCCTGGCTGGTTTGGCTCAGAGTGTCAGCCTGCGGTCCTGAGAGACCCGGGTTCAGTTCCCGCTGAGGGCATGTACCACGATTGCAGTTTGTCCCCAGCCCTGGTTGGGTCGTGCGGGTGGCAGCCACTCGATGTGTCCTTTCATGTTGAAGTTTCTCTCTCTCTCTCCCTCCCACTTTATCTGAACACGAAAAATGTCCTTGAGTGAGGATAAAAAATAAATAAAGAAAATGCATACATACTGGTTTCTACCCCTGAGAAATCTCGTAGTGAAAAAAACACTCAAAGTATCTTTTGTTGTATCGAGGGGACCAGGGTTGGAGTTTTCAACTTCACACATCCAGAGAGGGCAAGGGTCTGGAAATAGTTAATGATCAGTCAAGCCTGCTTCGGGAAGCCTCTGTAAGCATTCCAATAGGAGGCGTTTGATGAGCTTGCAGGTGTGTGAACATATCCAGGTATGAAGAATGTGCTGCACCCTATCTTCTAGGAGACAGAAGCTCCTGTGCATGGAAAGTTCCCAGACCTCGCATCCTGTATCTCCTTATCTGGCTGTTCATCGGTATTCTTCATGATTAGCATTTCTTCAGATGTGTATTTGCTATCACTGTATTTTGATATGTCAGATCACGCTCCACCTAATGTTACTAATGTCAATTTTGAGTTAAGGACCGTGAAACAGCAGAGGTGCTTTGGATTTTGCTTGTTGTGTGACTTTTTTTGCTTTATGGAATACATGTTTTTTATGTTGGAATAATAAGTTCTAATATTTTCCTTTTTTTTTTTATGCCATACACAATGTAATGGACACTTTTAATTTTAACTCACACTGTTAACATCCTCCATATTTATTACAAACATGGACTTTGATGATACAATGTTTTGCTTTGGTAGTGTCGTCCATTTTAAGGTCTGCTGTCATGGGGGTTCTTGGCTTAGGTCTAGACTCAGTATGGGCAGCTGTGTGGAGTCCCAAAGCTCAGAGGAAGAGGAAATAGGAGAGAAGTGATCAGATTCTCCATTGCTTGGGACAACCATCCTGGATTTTCATTCAGGTTTCGTGAATTTGATTAGGACAAGCAAACAACACCTTCATTACGGGTGTGGAACTCATTTTGCTCCTATGTAAAGTGGGTGCAAGATATGTCTCCATCCCTGAGGTGTTGGAGGAGTCAGGAGCTACAGGACCCGTGGGCAGAGGGGCAGCCATGCCTGCCACCTGGCTGGGCTTCAGCAGAGACATTCTCAGGCCAGGCAGCCCTCTCTCCTAAGTACTGGTATGGTCATGTACTTTTTTGGTGCCTTTGCAAAAGAAATGGGGTGCCCTGGCCGGTCTGGTTCAGTGGTTAGACTGTTGCCCTGCACACCAACACAGGTTAGATTCTGGTCAAGGGCACGTGCCTCGGTTGCAGTTCATCTCCGGCTCTTGTTGGGTCATGTGGGAGGCAATCAGTTGATGTGTCATTGCCACATTGATGTTTATCTCCCTCACTCCCACTCTATCTGATGATAAATAGAAAGATATCCTCTGGTCAAAATTAAAACAAAAAGAAATGAAAAATATATGTAGTTTTTCAGAACCTGCTGACCCACATTCTGGGAACCTGCTCTGGGTACTGAGATCTCCCTAAGATGTCCCCACTAGGGAATATCCAGGCAACTCGATAGCACTGCCTGAGTCTTAATTAGCTGAATAACTTAGAGGTGATGATGTTCTTATCTTGTTTCTGAGGATCAATAAAAGGAACACACAGTGCTCCTCAGTGTCATTTTGCCAGGGTTAGCATTTTGAGCATTTCCACTTATAAGTCTCACAACTCAGGAAGTGAAAACTAATAAAAATTTCTGGGAATATCCACGATTAGAGAAATGAAGTAGGTTCTCCAAGTTTGAACAACAGGTGTCCGATTTAAGAGGATGGAGTCCAACCTGGGAGTCTGGCCGCAGAGCCAGGGACGACCTGTACCCATGTTGTGAACCCCTCACTGGGATACTTGCACTGTGAGCACCAGGTTGGCTCAGCTGAAGCTGCTTTTCCACAGTGCAGTTATCATGGTTTTACTCCCTTTCCCCTAATCTCTAATACAACCTAGTCTTTGCCCCCAGTGTTCTCAGGAAAGCCACTGCCATGACCTGCGCAGCTAGTGAAACCAGACCTGATGAGTGGCAACAGATTTAAAAAGACACAGACATTATAGAGAGTAAAGCTTGGGCCAGGTGGGACACTGCTCCCTGATGGAGCAATAGTGATACTCAGCTAGGGTAGTATGTTTATTATATAGCAATAATAAAAGGGGTGGGGATCAAAAGTTTCATTATCTTCAAACCAGATGCTTCCACTGGATTCTGAGCTCAAGGTGAAAACTGTCAATACAGTTTTGCCCAAGGCTCAGAACGCTCCTTCCTGTAGGATCAACAACAGACCTTAAGTAGAATGTTTCTGGGTAAGCCTGGCAAACACCACATGTTCAACAAAAGACTTTGGCTCAGTCGCCCTCCACATGCCGTGATTTGTCAGCCTTATTGGTTTCTCCCAGGGAACCTTCTTTGGCAGTTAGCTCCTCTTTGCATAGCTCCATTTGATCTCAGCACAGAATATGATCCTCTGGAGACCTCGGTTATTTGGACTGGATCTCAGTACCTTTACCCACATTTTGGTGTCAGGCTGTGATCCCACCTACTGTGATGGATTTCATGTGTCAGTTTGACTCTTCAAGTGAAATTCTGTGATGCCAACATTCACCCTTCAGGAGATGGGACAATGGGATATGGATTCTGGGACCTAATACTTGAAAGCGATGTTGGAGACCTACCGGATCCTGTAGGTCTACTTATAGGTGAGTGCCCCCTTTTTCCATGCACAAAACCCACTTCCCATGGGATCCTGTCACTCTATCCCTATTGGCTGTATGGGACAATGGTGCTCACCATGTTTTCTCTGCTGTTCTGACCCCATTCTGGACTCATATCCTGCTTCCAGTCTCCTGTGTCTGCACCATAAAAATCTGGGTTAATGCCCGGCTGGTGTGGCTCTATGGTTGAGTGTTTTCCCATGGACTGAGAGGTCCCACTTCAACATGCCTGGGTTGTGGCTTGATCTACTGTAGGGGGCGTTCAGGAGGCAGCCCATCGATGTTTCTGTCTCACATCCATATTTCTATCTCTGTCTCCCTTCCTCTCTAAAAAAAATCAATGAAAAACGTATTAAAAAAAAAATTGGGGTTAAAGTTCTGC